CTGGTAAATACACAGCCAAGTAAGAAGAAAAAAGTGCTTCTGTTTAATCCCTATTTTGAATAAACAGAAATGAAAGAGCCAAAAAGCCAAAAGAAAAGTTTTTAAATAAACACCATGTCAACAGTCATCACATTGAGTCAACACCGCATGGAAAGCCTCAGCCACTGTGAAGCATGGGGAAGGAGCAAAGTGAGAAGGGTCTGGAGAGGGAACTGTGAAACTCTCGTTACGGACAGACTACATGGTTGTTTTGTAGAGAAATGGAAAAGAATCATCAGATGAAGTGTTTCAGTGGACAAGGTAATATCATATTAAAAGCTATTATGGCCTCTATATATTACAAAACGCAGCTGATAGAAAAATGTAATCCTGGAAAAAAAAAATCTCATGTTTGTCGATTTTTAAGATACGAATTCTCCAGTCATTGACATGGAGATTACTTATAATCTCAGTAAAGATCTCAGAAGGTTTTTGTGGAAATTGACAAACGAATGCAAATATTTATACAAAAACACGAAGGGCCAAGAACACTCAGGACAATGTGAAAAAGAAGCTAAAAAAAAGCCCAGAGGACTGTGTTTTAAAATATTTGTAAGTCTACAGTGGTTAAGACAATGTGGTATTGCCACAAAGTTGGAAAAATACGCTAAATGATTCCACAAAGTTGGAAAAATACGCTAAATGACTCTATAGAAAGTTCAAAAGTAATTTGTACATATCTATTTGATTTAGGGCAAAGAGCTTTGGGGAAAGAACTATGATTTAAGTAAAAAATCCTAGATCAGGTGGAGACCAAGAGGGAAAGACAAGTAAAAGGACGCGGATGCCCTCCGTGAGGTCCCTGCAACAAGAGCCAGTTCTGGGCAAGAGTCAGCGGAGACAGAAAGAGGAGGCAGTGTAACTCCTAGGAGATACGGGGAGTATCTTTCTCACCCTGCTTAAGCAAATGTTTCTTAAATAGGACGGGAAGGGCAGTATGCAGAAAGGAAACAAAAAGATGAGTTGCTAATCTCTAAACTTAAGATGTATTAAGAAAGTGAAATAAATAAAAGTGGGGGAGGGGAAGAAATAAAAGTGGGGGAGGGGAAGAACTTAGCTGAACCCCACAGATGACTCACGTACGCTACCTGTAAAGGCGCCCTGTGGGACAGACTGGCTGCACAGCTGAAGACTGCTCCCCAAAAGAGGAGGTCCAACTGTCAATACACTTACGAAAAGATGCTCAACTCCTGGGTGACCAGAAAAACGAGGTTCAGACAACACGGAGCCATCTTTTCACATGGACCGGGATGGCTGAACTGAGAAAGGTGGGGAATTCCAGCCAGTGGGGGAGAGAACTCCAGGCAGCCGCGGCTCCCTCACCCTCCTGGGGGAGTGTGCTCCATCCAACCACTTTGGAAACCTCTCGTATCCTCTAAAGATCCACATCTCTATGACCTGAGGATCCCACTTCTGGGGAAGAACATGCACACACTCGCATCCAAAGCCCTGTGTTCGTAGGCTGTTCACGGCAGCCCTGCTCTTAATGACCCATCACTGGAACAAACCACATCTCCAGCAACTGCTGCAAAGACACAGCCCTGAGGCACACCAGGGACAACTGCAGCGGCGTAAGAGGCACACCAGGGACAACTGCAGCGGCGTAAACGGATGAGTCAGCTTCACGAAACACAACGGATGAGTTTCCCACATGAAATCCTCACTGCCCCACTCATCCAGACGCAAACCGGGCAACTCCACTTGTGTGACTTCAAATACAGGTCCAACAAATCTGTCTGAGAAGCCAGGATGAGGATGACTACTCTTGTTTGTGCTAGACGTTCGCATCTTCTGTTAGGTTTACATTTTCGGTATTATATTGATTGAATATGTGTTGTTAAAGTAATATATCAACATACAATTCTAATTTAAAATTAGTTAATACAGACATCCCTCAGTATCCACCGGAGATGGGGGGCTGGATCCACACCTTGGGTACCAAATTCCAAGGATGCTCAAGTCCTAAAGCCGTGCCTTCAGACTCTGCATCCTTGGATTCAGCCAACTGCAGATCTTAAACACGCCCCACAGCTGGCTGAATGCACAGATACAGACCCTGCTGATATGGAGGGCTGACTGGACAGCAGATCATGTAGTGCTAAGGATATATTAATATATAATCTTAATAATCAATATTGAATAAATAAAATTTAATTTTAAGTATCACATGATAGCAATAAGACATTAACATTACTGGTAACATTACTGCAACCTCAAGATGCGTTTCAGCAGCTTGGAAGAAAGTTCTGGAACAAGAAGGGCTGCAACACCAA